TACTGTTAGCCTTCTTGGCAACAAGAGCACACTGCTGGCTCATACTCAGTTTTTTGTCCGCTGTAACCCCCAGGTCCTTTTCTGCAGAGCTGCTGCCCAGCCAGTCAGCCCCCAACCTGTATCAGGGCATGGGATTGTTCCATCCTAAATGCAGGATTTTGCACTTGTCCTCGTTGAACCTCATGAGATTTTTTTTGGCCCAATCCTCCAATTTGTCTGTAGGTCACTGAATTTTGGAGTGCTGAGCCTTTTGAAACTGGGGGGAAAAAAAAGACAGGGTTTTATTTTATGACTGGTAAAATCCCTCCTGGTATAAGATACTGGTGCTTGATGGAAGGAACGTACTGCATTGTGAACTTAAGGGAAGAAATGCTCGATATTACTTACAAAACCTGTGGTGATGCTGTACCCCAAATTACAAATCTCACTGCTAAAGGTATGGGTGAGAAGTGCACGGCTTACATGTTATTGCCAGTCTCTTGCAGGGTGGGGTACTCTCCAGTGGAGGCAGCTGTCTAGTGGATCTGCTCTGAGCAAGCCACCAGCATGTTTACAAGCAGGAAACTGGGCTGTACATGTCAGGGCGTGCACAGATTTCCAAAGTACCACGCAGCAAGGATGCAGGGCTTGCTGCTTTGCTTTTCAAATCCCTTCTCCTTTAATAAAAAGGTTGAATAATTAATTTTGGTCGGTCATTGGGACCGGGTGTTCTAGGAACTGCCTGGCCCTTTGCTACCGTAGCAATTTGGAGGAGCAGCGTCGGTCCATCGGTGAATCCCTGTGGAGACTCCACGATAACATATTGGTTCTGTACCAAAAAAAATGTAACCCCAAATCCACATTTTTCTGGGATCAAAATGAAACACCACTATATCGATCTATCCCTATCTCTCTCGCTATATATACCCGTAGATAGCTAGACCTGTGTTATTACGGGTGTTTCATTTTAACTACTTTTTTGAACGAAAATTGGGGAATTGTTGTTTATCAGAGAAACCCGGGATCCCCGGTGCTAACCCCTGCGCGGTCGAGCAGCCGGGGGGGCGGGGCCCGTGCCCGCCAGGCTCCTCCCCCCGCGGGCTGCAGCTCCCGGGAGACAGAGCGGGGGCGGGGCCAGCGCATGGCGTCATTGAGGCGCGCCGCGGGGCGGAAATGACGCGTTTGCCACGCGCGGTCGCTGCTCAGTCTCCGGTAGCGGGCGGAAGCGGCGGGCGGCGGCGCCGGGAGCGGTAAGCGGGCGGGGCGAGGCGAGGCGGTAGCCGCGGAGCCCGCGGGCGGGGGAGGCCCTCCGGCTCCGCTTGTTCTCTGACCGCTCCGTGGGTCTCGGCTCCGGGACCTGGCGCTGGGCGCTGACACGTGTCGCCTGTCTCCCCCCCAAGGGCGCGTCGCTCGGCCCCGCGGCGGGGTGAAGGGGCTGTTAGCTGAGCCTTGTCCTCCCCCGCTGTGGGCCCCACTCCCTGCTCCAGCCGTCGCCAGGCGGGAGGTGCAGCGGGAGCCGTGCTGGAGACTGACCCCCCAAGTGATGGAGACGCCCCCCAAGCTTACACTTGGCGCCTGCGGGTGCTCTCGCATCCTCAGGGAGACTACAGTTGCGGAGGCGCGCCAGCAGCGCTGCCGTTGTCTTTTAAACCGGCACTGACTTGGCATCCGTGGCTGAAACCGGGTTTGTTTGAGTTCAGCTGGAATCGATCTCGGTGGATTTCCCATTTCTGTCAGCAAGTGCCCATCGCACGTCGTTACTTTTAATTGCGTTTCGAAGGTTGATTTAGAACTTGCCTGAATTGCATTGTACTCCGCAGTACCGCGTGTGTTTCAAGGATGTCTGTCTGTCTGTCTGTCTCTGCTAACGGAGAGTTTTGTTTCAGGTTTCCTGACTCAAATGGGTGATGAAAAGGATTCTTGGAAAGTGAAAACTTTAGATGAAATTCTTCAAGAAAAGAAACGAAGGAAGGAGCAAGAAGAGAAGGCAGAGATAAAACGCATGAAAAATGTAATCCATCTCCATAATGTTATTCTAATTACAGTGAGGTTTAATCTTTCACCTCTTGTTTTTCTAATAGAACAAAGTTTCTTCTTAGCCCCGTTGGTGACATTCCTGTGAACTTTCTAGCACTGTCTCTTGCGTGCTAACACAATACTGTGCTTTGTTAAAATGTAATGGGCAACAGGACCAGATCTTTATCCCTGCTTCAGAGCTGTGGAAAGGTCCGTCTAAAAAATCAACATAATTCATTAGGAGTTTGAGTTGTGGTAGAATAAGGGCAGAAGGAGATGAACAGGAGAAGTTAAGCAAATGATTTAAAAAAAGAAAAGAAAAAGAAGATAGTTGTGAGAAGCTGACTGCAGTTTGTGTTTACCCTTCCCTTGCTCTTCTTCCCCTCCTATAGTCTGATGACCGGGATTCGAAGCGGGACTCCCTGGAAGAGGGGGAGCTGAGAGAGCACCGCATGGAGATAACGATCAGGAATTCACCCTACAGGAGAGAAGATTCAATGGAAGATCGGTAAGAGTAGAGGGAGGTGATGTTTCGGGATGCTTACATTGCCTTAGAAGCAAGAAAGTCAAAATACTCTGCACTTGTTGGGTTGGTGAGATGGACTTGGAGTGACTGAGGTTGGCTCACTTTCTGTTCACTTAAGCTCTGAAAGTGCCATACCTTACAAGAGATTGAGGCTTTGTGAATTGTTGCAACATGTTTCAAGTATTCAGATGATACATTAATGTTGTGAGCTGAATAAAATGGAAAATATGTTCCTTCTCACAAGGGGGACAAAATTCATACATAGACATCACTTCCTTGTGTTTTATTCTTCTTTATATCTTAGAGGAGAGGAGGATGATTCCTTAGCGATAAAACCACCACAGCAAATGTCACGGAAGGAAAAAACCCATCACAGGAAGGATGAAAAGAGGAAAGAGAAACGGAGACATCGGAGCCATTCAGCAGAAGGTGGAATTGTTATTGCTGTTTAACTTCTGTTATAGTAGCTTTTTGGGTCGAGCAGATCTGGGCTCTTAGTAGCAAGTGCCTGAAGATGTAACTTAAGGCAAAAAATGTGTGTAATTATTGGTTGATAATTTTTTCCCAATAACTTTTATAGATCAGGTTCCTTTGCTACTGGGCTTGTGTTCAATTCACTTAAGAGGTTTGTTTGGATTTCTGAGAAACTGTTCTAGGACGGGTTTAGAGTCCAGTTCTGTCTCTGGAGTCGGTGTTGAAATTCCTACTAACTCTAGTCAGCACAGAATTGAGCATGTGGTCATTGTACCTTCCTATACAGACCTCAGCATGCTTTTCCTGATTGCTAACGTACAATAATCAATCTTGCTTTTCCCATCATCGGGGAACATTTATTGTTAATGTTAATATACTGGCTGGTTTTCATAAGTTTTAATTATGCTTATGATACAAATTCAGGTCAGGATTTTACCAACACATAGCAAGACAGGGACACAATACACGTTGACACATTTTTCCTGCCTCTTCCCTTATTTCTTTGCCTTTTTAAGAATAGGCATGTGGAATATATCGTGTGCAATAACTATCTATTACTGCTAATATCTTCACTAGGGAAGCATGCCAGGATGAAAGAAAAGGACCGTGAACATGAACGTAGGAAGAGACATCGAGAAGAGCAGGATAAGGCTCGTCGGGAGTGGGAAAGGCAGAAAAGGAGAGAATTGGCTAGGGAGCATTCCAGAAGAGAGAGGTAAAACCAGAGCCCTTAATTACCTTCCCCATTCAAAACAAAATCTCGTCCATCTAGCGAGGCTAGAAACAGACATCGTATTTGTCCTAAGGCAAATTGTGCCTGTGTTCATCTCAGACGAGGAAATCACAGGATCTGCATATACATACATTACCTTTTCAATCGGGGTTTAGTGAGCAGCTGAATGCACTACTGCTTAGCTGCCATTGATTCAATAATGCAGTCCTGGGACAACTGTTCAGATGTACTTTGAGGCAAACTGTTAGTGCTGCTTATCCTGTAAACCTTTTTAGGGTTTGTCCTAAGACAGTGAACATCGATGCCTGAATAATCATACTTTGTCCTAGGAGAAGATAGTTCTAAATGTGGCATCTGTCTGTAGCCTCAGTCGTTGCTTTTCTGTGTTCTTAACTGTAATTAACTACGTTTATAACTGACTTTGTTGCAACTAATAACTGACTTTGTTGCTGTGCCTAGCTGCTTGTCCATAATACAGAATGGATGGTGGACTTTGAAGGGAATTGTTAAGTAAGCTCAACAAGTTGAAATGTTTAACGTTATTTTTAACTTCCTATGGCATGAAAAACTTCATGCAGATGGTCCTCTCAATCTGTCCGGTTAAGCAAAATGGAGGCAGAAGAGAACAACTCTGTTTTTAACAGTTACTGTCTACCTTTTGTAAAGGGCTGTTTATACTATTGGCAAGTACACAGTGGTATCGATAATTTTGTTGCTAGTTGGTACTGAAATCAAATTAGCTCTTAACAGTCTCTTACTGCAACAGGAACAAGGAGTTCAGAATAAGAAAACCAAAATCTGGATGTTTTGGTTAATAATTATTGATAACATAATAAAGGCTAAGTAATGTTTCTAGGGATCGTCTGGAGCAACTTGAGCGGGAACGGGAAAGGAAAATCAGAGAGCAGCAAAAAGAGCAGAGGGAGCAAAAAGAGCGGGAAAGGCGAGCAGAAGAAAGGCGCAAGGACCGGGAAGCCAGAAGAGAAGGTACCTTCTTCAGTGTAAACAGTTTAGTGGCTTGCTGTCTAATGGAACAGCTGTGGCAGCTGGAGAGAATAAGTATCTGTTAGGTGCTCTTGCCAAGGGGTTCTAAAAATTTGGCTCCTGCATCAGTCATGAACAAGGCCACAAAATCCTATGTGGGAAAGAGCAATGTTTTCAGGCTTGCATGACCTCTTCATTACCATGGCGCTCAGAGCTATTGGTTATGAATCAGGCCCTTGATCAGTTTTCAATGAATGTCCTGTCCTTTGCCTATCACAAGATAAAGTAACTTGTTGGAGTTCATTGAATTTCATTACCATAATTACCTGAGACCTCATAGTTTCCGGTTAGCATGTCATTTTGCAACATTTGCATGATACATTTAGGTCACACATTACTAACAGAGAGGATAAACCAGTTTGGATTGGTGCTTAGGACCAGAGGATGACTCCAGAGTGTGTAAGTGGCTTGGATGCCATGGTTACCTTCTTGGACTCTTGTTTTGTAATGAAGACTGTTCAGACTGTTAGCCTCTGTTTACAAATGTAGCCCCACTTAGCTTTGCCACATTCTACATTTTGAAGGTGCTATAATTCCCTTCATCCTGGATGTTTACACAGCTCACTCACTGAGTCATTCATTTCCCCCTGTGATTTCTCGAATTGTAATGTATTTGGTGTTTGCCCAAATTGCTCCTTTCTACACCTTCATTCTTTGGGGGGGTTTCTGTACCTTGCCCACTTTGTGTGCTTCATTCTGGTAACGAGCGCCTGGAAACGTATGTGCTATTGCAGATGTTTGTCTTAAAGTGGCAGAGGCAGGTGGGGGGCCTCTGTACACAGCCCAGAATATGTTCTGTCCTTTGTTGCCATGTTTCACTTCTGAATGGCACAGCTAGACATCACTGCTTCTCAAGGTAGCAACACAGTCTCTCTTTATTTAGGGACACTGGTAGGTATTTTTTATTTGTTGTTTTTTTTTCTAGGGGAGAAAATTCGTATACAGAGCAGGCTGTCCTGAAAGAGGACAAGGTTTGGGATTAGCAGCAGAAATGTAATGCCTTTGATTTTTGTTGTGTTGTTTCTAATAGTTTCTGCCCACCATAGAACAGTGAGGGAAGAATATGGAGATAAAATAAAAATGAGACCTTGGAGTCGCAGCCCGCTACGCCAGCAGAGAGACAAGCTTGAGCAAGGAGATGGCAGGAAGCCAGGTAGTGGTTCTACTTGACTCTTTGCCCTTGTACTGTAATGAGAGAGGCCCAGTAATGGGGAAAGCAGTTCAGTTTTTAGCTTTAAAAATATTTATGGCTTATGTAGAGCAATTAAATCATTTTTTTTAACAGTCAGTGTTCATGGTCCAAATGAGTTTGCATAGCTGAACCAGCTGAAACTCCAGCAGGAGACTAATGAAAGACCCTGTTAACTTTGGATGTGACCAGGCAATTCTATAATATGTGAATAGTCAGAAATAGTCTTATCTCTAATGAGATGACCCATGATGGACACTGCTCTTAGGAGGATGCATCTGCAAGATTGCATGTAAATAGTTCTTTATTCTTAGGCTTCACTAGCAAGTTGCCTTTCCCTCAGTTTGTTGAATGGGGCTTGTGAATGTTTTAGCTCACTTCTTAAAAATGACACTTCATTCCAAGCCTTTTCTAGGTTGATCCAGAATCACTGCAATTCATAAAGTTACACACTATGAAAATTAACTCGGTGTTGTAATCTTCTGACTGTGATGGATGGAAGGAGTGAGGGAAGAGGAGAAGCAAAAAAAATCCTATGTTCCAGTAATGACTTTGTGTCTGTTTCACAGTAAAGGAGGAGAAACCAGAAGAAAGAGACCTCCTGTCAGATTTGCAAGACATCAGTGAGAGCGAGAGAAAAACGAGCTCAGCAGAATCTTCATCAGGTGCTATTTGCATGGAAATGGGCAGAATTCATTCTAGACCATGATCTTGTGTATAAGATGATCGTTTGAGAGTGCACCTTGTTACTTACATGTCCTCTGCTTGTCCCCTGAAAGAATCTGCATCTGATTCAGAAGAGGAGGAAGAGGAGTCCACTAGCGAAGAATCAGAAGAGGAAGGAGAAGAGGAAGAGGAGGAGGAGGAGACTGGAAGCAATTCTGAGGAAGTGTCTGAACAGTCAGCTGGTAAGAGAGTAGCAGATCCCCTCAGAAATCCTGATCCAGGCCCTTTGTGCTTATGGTTGTATGTTGCTTTACTTGGACCACATTCCTCTTCTCTTGGTCTGTGGTACAGTGATAACTAAAAGATCAGAACAACTAGGGGGGTGGGACATTCTGTGCAAAACAATATGCTAGTCCTTCTGCATGGGGGTGATCCAAGTCCTAAACCTAACAATCCTCACTGGATCGTTTTGGGGAGAGGTTTTGGTTGAAGCCTCATTGTTCAAATGATAGCTTAAAACTGGGGAAGTAGAAAATATTATAAGGGAAAATTCTGCACTAGTTGAGAAATGGGCTGCAGACAGTTTCGCCAGCTCTAGTTTTTCTCATTTTTAAATTTTGTTAGGTTTTAATTTTTAGGTCAATAAAAATAGCAATTGGAGCTAATGCTAAAAACGTAAATCACAAAAAGTTTAATAATTGCTCTGTTTGTCATTAATTAGTAAACTAAAAATTGATCACAACAGCCTGGGCCTGACTGCTGGATATTTTTCTTTGAGAGCAATGATAGGTAACCACCAAAGTTTTTAACAAGTTTCCAACTTTGGTTCTTGCCACCAGTAATATCCAAATTTTGTTAAGCTTAAATGATATCACTGGAGGACCTTTCTGCTTTCTAGTGATATAAAGTATCTGACTGCAGCTAATAACAGAGCTATAAATTCTTTGTGTTATGGCATTTTTTTCTTTCCCTGTAAATAAACTTGTAAAGCAGTCCATCATATTTTCATTTTCTCGTGTGTTTGTTTCCAAAATTTCTCAATTTCAGGGCATGAATATTGTGCATAAAATCTGTGCCCCATGCGTTTCCCAACCATCAAGTTAAGAGAGATCTTAATATTATTTTAAAGTCATGTTATAAATGCATAATGTAAAATTGATGTACGAGAACAGAAATAGCAACTGAAGATATGTCTTCCCTCTCTCGTCTTCAGTTTAAGCCTCTTCAGTATGGTGCTTCTGTGTAAAGATGCTATTTTCCAAATGAAATAAAGGTGGTAGATTATTAACAGACCACGTGGAGCAGGATCTAAAACTTGTTAGAAGCGGCCTTGCCAGCTTGCAAGATTCAGCAACTCCAAGCCGAAACGACGCTTATTTTGTTGTGCTTTGTTCTGTTTTGCAGAAGAGGTGAGCGAAGAAGAAATGAGTGAAGAGGAAGAAAGGGAGAATGGAAACCACATTCCAGTTGGTATGATGCAAACCTGGATTTTGGCTGCAGCAATTATTTTCTTTCTCTTCTGTTTCATAATCAATTTAATTTTAATGCACTGCTTGGAACACAAAAATGGTTTGATGTTCTAGCCTATTATGGTATGCATTAGTGTGTGTGTGTAAATTCTATGGGGAAGGAGATGATCATTTTGGAGGCCTGGTTCAAAGCTTACATGACATGGTATGGTGTGCATTAAAAGGCTCCGGCTTTTAATTATTTTTTAAATAATATAGGCCTCATATAGACATTCGGTTTCTCCTGGGAGAGTTGCTGCTCTTACAGGAGAAACAACAAGTATACAAATATTCAGGCTTTTTCTCCCAGAGTAAAAACGGCCACTCCATGAGAGAGCCTGGGAACAGCCAAGGTTAAATCGCTCCCAGGAGAGTTTCTCTTGGAAGAGTGAATGTCTGTTCATGCTGGGCAGCTTCTCTCAGAAGAGAACATAGTCCTTAAGGATTTCCCATCCACTGCTGCCCCCCCCGGCAGCTTGACAGCTAGTCGTAGGGAAGACGTTGATTGTGTGTTACTTGCTGGACTCTGTGGCTTCAGCAGGGAGCAGAACAAGTCCCCTTCACAATCCTCACGTTGTGCTGCAGGGAAACTCAGGCTGACCATAGGCAGTCTGGGTCAGCTAGTCAGGCTGCCCTATGCGCTGCTGACATCTGTCTTCAGGCAGACTAAGGGAGCCTAGGGAGCACACCAAGATGCATGTCCAGCCCCCACCCCAGACCTGACTGCACAGTGTCATCACTGCAACCTCTCTACTCTTCAGGGCATCAGCATTTGAATGTCTGTACACACTGTTCTGGTTAAGTGTTACTACCAGGAGAAAAACGTGGCAGAATTCTTCCAGATTCTTTGAATGTGTGTACACAGGGTTGACAGTGGAGTTTTGCCATTGCTACAAATTGCTGTGCCAGCAGCTGTTGGTTTCCACAACTGATTCTAACTTTTAAAGTTACAGAGTCAAGGTTTGACCGAGATTCAGCAGGGAGCGAAGGAGAAGAGGAGGAAGTCGGAGAGGGCACTCCACATTCCAATGCCATGACAGAGGGAGATTATGTCCCAGATTCTCCAGCTTCATCTCCCATTGAGCTAAAGCAAGAGCTGCCCAAGTACCTTCCTGCACTCCAGGTAGAGGGTCAATTTGCAGCTGTTCCTGAATGTCTTAGGCTGATGGGATTAAATTGGCCAGTGTCACTGATGGCAAACAAGTGCTGCTAGTATCTGGGATGTAAAATATGACTTCATACCCACTCAGCCGCTTACACTGTAAGCATAAACCACACCAAGGTAAAGCCGGAAGTATATTGTGGTTATGTGATGCCTTCAGTGTCTGAGGTGTATTCCATCAATCAAATAGTCACTTTAAGAACTTTAAAATGTGCACTTGTTCATGCATATTATATACACACATTTTAATCAAAATAGAAACACAGTGAGTTGTACTTACATACCTACACAAGAAAGCAAAGTGTTCATTTTGTGTAGAGTCTGCCATTGTCACGTTAACCTGAGGCAGCAACGAGACAGTCATGACCTGTGTAATCCTACCTCTTAGCTGTTGGTGGCTTATGTTCAGGGGATATGTATTCTGCTTAGTGGTGTACAGGAGAGTTATTGACTTAAGGTGCTGAGCCAGTTCCTCTGCTACTAAGATGGAAAACTTCTTTTCATCTTCTGTAGAAATGAATGATGCTCAAGCATAATTGAGGTGAAGTAGGTAAGCTATTCCCCTGTAGCGTTGTTCCTGAATAGACACTGTCTTGGGTTATTGAGCAAATGTGCTTTGGAATTCAATATAGTTTTCTTGGACATAACTGTATTTTAGAGTCTTCTAGGATAACTGTAACCATGATGTGTGCACTGTACCGTGTTTTGTGTCTGAAAAAAAAAAAAGCCAATCTTAGAGTAGTAAATTGCTGTTAATCTGTCTGTTTTCCTAGGGATGTCGTAGTGTGGAGGAATTTCAGTGTTTGAACAGGATTGAAGAGGGAACATATGGTGTGGTGTACAGAGCAAAAGACAAAAAAACTGGTTGGTATAAGTGCAGCTGTGCCAGTTTATAACAGTAATAAAATGGTGTTTCAGAAAGTGCAAGCTAGTTAGTGTTTTCACAACACTTAGTATAAGCATTAAAGGGGTGAAATGTTATCAACCATATGCAGAGTTTAAGTCCTTACCTGTCTGAGGCTACAGCTCTTCTTGATTATGGGGCTAGGTATGTTTTGGGGACCTATAATTTGAAAAACAGATGGTTTTGCTTAAAACTACAAATTCTCTAATTTTTTTGCACCCAAAAGAATCCTGTTTTTTTCCTACCAGGTACTGAGGGGGCTGAAATCTTTCTGGAAAACTTCTTAAAAGGATGTTAATTATGGGCATTCATGTGAAATTACAGTAGTACAATGGACACTTTAATGTTGGCAATGATATAGATATGTGATCTAGTGGTGTTTGTGGATTGGGTGATATACACAGAAGAGTTGCCCATTGTTGGAAGCTTTTAAACCATAGGGAATCTAAAATTGGGTTATCACATTCAGAGCTTTTGATTTTAGTGACGTTGACCAGTTAGTTATTCTGCGATCTGACAATCCCTTATCACAAAGTTTTCCAATGAGGGAACTGCTGACTAGTTTCCTATAACGAATAATTATCTTGTGCCATGCTTGTATGAGATTAAGGTTAAAGTTTAGATTTAACGCAGCAATGCTTTGCATTTCTGTAGCATCTTCCATTCCATTGCTGTACAGACCTGAGAGAATGAAGCCTCCTGTAATTTGATAAGGAATGTAATGGGAAGTCTGGCAGAGCTGGCAACATAACTCGGATTTCTTGGTGCTCAGCCTTGAGTGTTTTTGTGCCACAAGGTCAACTTTTCTCTGCTGTATCAAGCTTACTGATCTGAGGATCAGGGAGAAGGGTATAAGTAAATGCTCCATGATAATCAAATGCTTTGACGATATTTACCAGTTGAGAGCTATGCACTACATGTGAATCACTTTCCAAAATCCCCATTTATAAGAACAGAAAATACGTCTGAAATACCGTTATTATTTGTTGCTGTTTTTCATGAACAATCCATTTGCCCCTCAGCATGGTGTGTGTTTTCCAAGATACTTGCTTAAAGGCAGCATCTTGTGTTGGGTTCAGTCGTGTATGTAGACATTAGCAAGAAAGTCTAGTTTCTCTCAGCTAGAAATTAAAATAGTGAAGGTAGCTGGGGGATCCTGCAACTGATTAGTTGTAGATCTACCAGTAGGTGTCACTGCAAATTTGGAGGATGATTTAGTCTTTAATATAAGCTGTGGACAGGGTCTGTAGAAAAATAGATGTTTAGTTCACTTACTGTTTGCTTTGCAGTTCACCTGTCATTCCTGTGCAAACAAAACTGGACTTAGTTTTCCCAGTGGTTCAAAAACTTGCATGCTGACAAATGCTTCCCACAGCAGCTGTCATATATTTGAAAACTTACAAGCCATTTATATCTAGATCTAAAAATAAATCAGGTGTTTTAACTTCTGGTGACATCTGTTTTGGAGAAAAGTGATTATTTGTTACCAGTAGGGAGGGAGTCAAATGGGAAGTAATTTGCATCCTCCTAGTTTGAAGTGGCTTATCGAGTGGAAGCAGGACTTAGTCGAGCGTTTTGACAGAGTATATGATGAATCAGCTGGATCACTTCTCCCCTGCAGTCTATAAACAGCTGGATGCTGAATGTTTATCACCTCTGATACTGATTCTCCTCATTGCTGCTGTCAAAAATGATGTATCACTTTCCTGCAAGCAGACTGTTTCCAGCAGGAAATGCAGCTTTATGAATTAAAAAAATACGCAGCATTTCAAACCACCAACTGACAGATGGTGAAAATGGGTTCTTGTTCTCTGAGCTCTGCACTAGGCAGAGAAAGCATGCTCCTATATTTAGAGTAGGCAACTGGGGGACAGGAATTCTGGTTATTCCCAGCTCTGTCATTTGAAATTCTCAGCTCCTCCATCTCCAGTTTTGGGGTAGTGCCAACCTTATAGGAATCTTGCCTTTTTTTAAGCATTTGCAATGCCCTAGAGAATGGACGGCCCAGGGTGGAGCCATGGTCTCTTTACAGTCATTCTTTGTGCTATTACGCTACTGGGACCACTTTCCCTCTAGCCTAATTAATGCTGTTCTCTGGAACAGCAAGAGCTGCGATAGACTGGCTGTTCTCTCATCCATGCCTGGTTTTGATACAGCCATGCCACAGTGGACTCGGGGGACCTTGGATAGCTGTAATTGATGTATAGTAAACAGGAGCATTATATGGTCTAGTGGTTCACATTTTAAATGATTTTTGCCTTTGTACACAATTAATTGATTTGCACAATCAAGTACAAAGCCCATTGCTCACTTAAGGCCTATATTTACATGCTGCATTCTCTGGCAGAGGGGCTATCTTTTTATTATGCTTCTATAATGGGCCCCCAAAGCACTATGAATATTACAGTACAAATATTCCAATTTTGAAGCTTTAAGCAGCACATAAGCCTTATGACAGGACTTTGCATAGGGGTGAATTAAACTCACTGCATCTTTCCCTTCAGCCAGGCTATTTTCTAGCAAAGATATTGGTCAGTATTTTGTTTCTTGAGGGAAATCACAAAGCACAATACCTTTTTTTTTTTTTTGTTTTTGTTTTTGTTTTTGTTTAATCTTCCCATTGGGATTTATTGCAGTATTTTAAAAGCATTAATCAACAGTCTTAGATGTTAATGTGAGAGAAATTTCTTTGGATTTTATTGTCTGAATTTAACAAATTGTTTTACTATGCTTATGTCAGTCTAATCCCGACTGCATAATATTTAAAACATGTGTAATGGCTTCCATTGATATAATTGAAAACTGTGACTACAGTGGAGAGTCCTGTCTTAACAATTATTTTATTATCCATTTCGCTTCGATTCTACAGCTAAACTAATTCTGGTTTTCCTTGTAGATGAAATTGTGGCTCTGAAGCGGCTGAAAATGGAAAAGGAAAAAGAAGGCTTTCCCATTACTTCTCTAAGAGAAATCAACACCATTCTGAAAGCGCAGCATCCAAATATTGTCACTGTCAGAGTAAGGCCTCTAAAACCTTTATTTTAGCATTGATTTTTATTCTTGAAGTATTATTCTTTGATGCTTAAGATGCCCTATAATGATTCAGTTGAAATGCAATGTTTGCTCAGTAATGATGTTTTTTTTCTATGTGCTGCTGGTAACATTTGCAAAACCAAACAGCTATTCTTTACTAGAGTTTTGAGGGTTTTGTTTCTTTTTTTCCAGCTAAGGACTTTTTACTCTGTAAGGAATAGTCTTGAGTGCTTATGTGTCATAACTCTTATGTGATATTTTTCTTTAAATATTCCTTTTATTTATTTGTTAATGCATTGCCAAAAGCCATTACTTTGCTTCCTAAACTTCAGATTATTTTTGTTTTGGTTTTTAGGAAATTGTTGTGGGCAGCAATATGGATAAAATCTATATTGTAATGAACTATGTAGAGCATGACCTCAAGAGTCTGATGGAAACCATGAAACAACCATTTTTACCAGGTAATGGATTTCCTAGCCTCCTGTGACTTGCTAGTGCATTAATAGTAATGTCTCTGAGCCTAATGCTGTAGTGCATCAGTAGCTAATA